CTTGGCCTGCTGTGTTCATCCAGCTCTACACCTTGTTATCTCCCCTTCATAAATCCATGCTGCCTTTGGCCGAGCTTGTCACTCATCTGACACACTGACGACAGGTTCAATTGGTTATGCCTTTGATAAGGTATGCCTTATCCTTGGATTTAAAACCATCCCTAATTTTCCTTGTTAGCCATGGTCTGACCATGTTTCCCGTTTCATTTTTATGTCAGACTGAGATGAATAACTTCTGCAGATTGTCCACATGCTTTTTCAATGTTTGTCATCGCCGATCTATAGTCATCCCTTTAAATAAATATCCCCAAATTATCATCGCTAACCTCATACCATTGTAATTTCCTTTATTTAAATTCCTATTTATCGTCGTCACTTAAATGGATTCCTATATCACGGTGCCCTAGTCACTTAGCGCATTTACCCTGGACAGCCATTTGCATCTAAAACCTTCCACCCTCAGACGTTGGCGAGCTGTTTTACTGAACGTTCCTCCGGTCAAAGAGAGCTATCATGGTGTAACAGATTACTGCTAACCAATCAGTGTACCATTTCATCCACACTCTGCTGTACTTCACATTCCAGTCTGTTTCAGAGATGGGAATAGCTTGTACAGTTGTACCATCCTCCTCCGCTCAGGCTGTAGGTCAGGGGCGTTCCACTGCAACATGTTCCAACAGAGACAGCACCATCTGCCTTCTCAGCCCCACATCTCCCGACAGGGAAGATGGAAATTCCACTGAGATCCAGCTGGAAGGAGACGAGACCCCCACTGCAGGCTCGGCAGGTGGAGGAGGAGCAGCCCTCTTGACACTTGTGAATACCAGTGCCTCAGGGGTCTCTGACCCTCAAGGTAGGTCATTGCTCATGGTAATTGTTCACTGAGTGGAGCAGGCAAACACAAATTCCTAGTGGCTGACATGCTAGAATTGGAGGCATGAGCTTCCTGCCTCCCCCAAAGGAGCATTTCTGCATCAAGCCAATTTGTGTGGGCTCCTCTCTTGCACAGAGAGAAAGTAGCCAGTGTGAGTGGTCACAATGGCTTGTGCATTGAGCAATGACCCTATTGCTACGGGACATGATTGTGTGAGGCAATAGGCTGTGTAAGCACTGACTGTTCAGGTGGGCATGTGAGGTGCCAACAAAGAGAGGACCAAGTGTAGCTACTAGCATGTTTTCCTGGGGCATGCTATGTTGGATATGGTGAGTGTGTAGGGCTTGGCACTTGAAGGTGTTATGCCCACTCAGCTGTCCTGGCCTTTTTGTGCCCAGTTTCCCAGTTTGCAGCGAAGCTCTGCAGTTTCTTGTGAGTTTCTCACTGAATCAGTACATATCTGTTTAGATCGGGAGGTTGTTCTCTTCTGCCCAGACCTGGGATTGTTCACCTCACTGCAACTCCTCAGACAAAACCTCCAGGTAGGAGAGATCAGAGGAGCAGCTTTCCTTTACCATCCCTGCAACTACAACAACCGAAAGAATCCGTGTGCTGCTGAGCTCCTCTACAACATGCTGCGGTCCCTTTAAACAGAAATCATTCCTCTGACTAATTGGCCACACCATCCCAATCCACCCTCCCTCATTGGTCAGGGAGCTTGATTGCTCCGTTTCGCGGGGTGGGGGGGAAACAAATGCAGCGGCGGGAATTCTTATGCTTGAGATCCTGACTGGACTCTTTCCCCAAAGTCGAGGGGAGTAAAATTCTGCCTGCACGCCATTATTTATGTGAAGAATGATCGTGATAGTACTTTGGTCTTTGGCTGTGCCAGCAGAAGTCTGCAGGGGGCAGTATGCTGAGTAGATAAATGTCAGTGTTTGTATCCTTTCTCTGTAATCCTGTCCATGTTATTCTCCTTTAACACAAGACCAGCGTGTCAGTGCATTCAGGGTACCAGTGACTCAGCAAACGTCGTCAATTTCCCTGACGGTTCTTGAACACTGTTTAGTTGTTATCTTTTATCAATGACTATGAGAGCAGGTATTGCAACCCCTGTGAATAGAGCTTTTATTCTACCTGTATTTTGTGGTTCGTTTCACAGTTAAAGGCTTGTTTGTTTTATATTTAATTGTTTCCGATAAACTCAATATTTTAGAATGCTGTTAATTTTGCATTAGCAGGCCGAGGCTATGAATGACATTCTTTATTAAAACAATGATATCAGATTGAGGCAAATTTATAATCTTTGACCTATCGTCATCTTTATTTTCCTTCAGAAGGTGTATTGGCCACGCCAGCTGTTGACTGATTGTATTTGGAAATATTTAATGCTATTGATTTGAAAATTTTCTGCTTCCATTCCAGTTTCCATATTTTCAATTTTTTTGTTCTTTACTGCTTGAGTGCGGACACCCTGATCAGGAGGAGAAACTAATGTCTCACCACGTCCCCCACCCAACCAGTCACATTCATACTCACATATAAACTCCGCGTTCCACTCCACTCCCTACACATACCATTCCCACAACCACACCTACCCTACACATCCCCGGACACTATCCGCAATTTAAGCAAGGCCAATCCATCTAAGCAGTACACCTTTGGACTGCGGAAAGAAACCACAGCATGTCAACAGAGGCACAGAGAGAATGTGCAAACTCTACACAGCTCGAGGTTGGTCCCTGGCTCTGTGAGGCTGTAGTGCTGACCACTGAGCCACTGTGCCCTGTGACTCTTCAGATACTGAAGCAATCCATATTCAAGTGCAGCAAGATCCCGAAAATATTCGGTGTCTGCAGTTGTAGGAACATAGGCTCAACGTTGATGAGCTAGAATCTGAACTTCAGACACTGCAGCACGTGCAGGAGGGGGGAAGTTACCTTGATGCTGTGATCCAGATAGTTACACTCTGTAGCTTAAATCTTTCAAATGTGCTCACTAGCCAGGGATAGGAGGGTGTGACAACAAGTGAGGCAGGTAGAAGGATGCTGAATGTAGTGTTGGAGGAGTCTCAGCTCTTGACCTTGTCCAATAGATATGAGGTACTTGCTTCCTGTATGGATGAGGAAAGAGTCTGTAGGGAGGATGGTCAAACTGGCGCAGTAAAAGAAAAAGCACACAATATGACAAAGCCTTTAAGCTTGTAAATGCTGGACTAGAGTGCATTTGTTCAAGAAATGCAGAAAGTTAGCAAGGAGATACAGCAGTCAGTTATGAAGGTAAATAGCATGTTGGCATGGATTAGCATACAAAAGAAAAGGAAGTCAGTTAACAAATAGGACTTTGGTGAGACCACACCTGGAGTACTGCCTGCAGTTTTGGTCCCCATGTCTGGAAGGATAGACTTGCAGTAGAGATAGTACAGCAGAAATTGACTGGATTGTTACTTGGGATGGGAGGGTTGACCTATGACAAGAGGCTGAGTAATTTCAGCCTGAATTCTCTGAAGTGCAGAAGACTGACAACTGATCATATTAAAATGTTAAGCTTCTTCAGAATCTTGTATAAGGTTGGTCCTGAGGGGCTAGATGGAAAATCTTGAAAATGGGAACACAGTCTCAAATGAAGAGGCCAATATTTGGGACTGAAATTAAGAGTAATTGCTTCACTCTGAGAATTATGAATTTTGAATTTTCTATTACAGAGGGTATAGATGCTTCATCATTGAATATATTTAAGACAGAAATAGACAGCCTTTTGTTCTCCCAGGGAATCAAGGTTATAGAGAAAGTGGAGCTGAGGCCATTGCTCAGCTATGAACTTTGTGAGTGGTGGTGCAGGTTTGAGATTTTGTATGGTCTATCCATACTCTTATTTATTATGTCATGACATACATCAAAGAAAAACAAAACTATAAAATAGATGACTTTTTTTACATGGCAGACCATGAGGATGTGCAGTATCCTATTCAAAAGCGGGAAACAATCATTCTTAAAATGGAATTGGGTAAGTTTAAGATTTTCACCTTGCATCCCTCAGAGCTAGCACACTAGAAACAGACTTGAAAGAAAGAGACACCATTCTATAAAGCACAAGAGACGCTATTTTATATTGCACCATCAGTGGCACAGAGATGTTAACAGTTAACCATTAATGCCCTGACCGATCAGAATATACCTTCCTGGTCAGAGATTTAAGATTAACGCTTCACTGCTAAAGTGAAGTGTCTTGTTTTAAGTCTGTTGCTTTGCATCTTAGCTCCAAGGAGAGCAAGACAAGAAGCTTCAATTTCTAGTCTCCTTTTAGAAATGGTCAAGTTCTGTACTATAAAACATTTATAGACCATCCCTGGGTTACAAATGGTGTCTGCTTGCAAGTTGATTTGCCTGCAAGTTGGAATACAATGCAGGGCAATATCAAATTGCTGTTAAATACAGGAAATGTTTGTAGTTGGGTCTTTAAAATTACACTCCTGTATGGATTGTGTGCATAAGTACGTGCATTTGTAAGTTGGAAAATTGTAATTCGGGAACCCCCTGCAATTGAATGAGAATTTGACTAATTAAAATGTGCACATTTAATGATAAGGCCTTGGTATAATGTCCTTTATATATGTTTTCACGGCAGAATCTGTGATACCAGAGGATGACCTCATTGGAGCTATGGAAACCAGGTATAGTGTGGACTCAATGGATTCTCCTGTGCACTTGATGAATCCCTCTAGCCCATCAAGGCGTAACTCTGGAGAATACAGGAATGCAGGGTCCATATCCTATAATTATCGCTCATCCTATCAGTCTTCCAATGGACCTCCTTCTTCAGGCTTGCGTCGACTTTCCACCAGCCCAGGTGGAGGAGGGGCCTTTTATGAATCAAAAGGAAGCAGTAATGCAGGTACATTTCACACGGCCACCACCTGTTTTAGATATATGTTCAATTTTGTTGTTAGTAATGTGAAATTTGTGCCTTAAGTACACACAATTAGCATGAGCATTAGTGTAATAAGAACATAAGAACTAGGATTGAGAGTAGGTAATTCAGCCCCTGAAATCTGCTCCAACATTTAATACGGTCATGGATGGTCTCAACTCAGCCTCAACTCCACTTTCCTGCCTGCTGTCTGTAATGCCTTGGCCTCTTATTGATTTAAAATCTGTCTATCTTCTCCTTCAATTTACTCAATGTCCTAATATCCTACATTCGCTGGGGTAGGAAATTCCATTGACTCATGACCCTTTGTGAGAAGTAATTTCTCCTCATCTCTGATTTAAATCTGCTAACCCATATCCTAAAACTATGACCTCTTGTTCTAGATTGCCCCACAAGAGGAAACATTCTCAATGTCTATTTTGTCAAACCCCTCTAGCATCTCATATACTCAATAAGATCTCCTCTCATTCTTCTAAACTCCAAACTGTTCCTCATAAGACAAACCCGTCATCTTTGGAATCAATCTAGTAAACCTCCTCTCAACTGCCTCCATTGCACTACATCCGTCCTCAAGTAAGGGGACCAAAATTGCACACAATAGTCCAGGTACAGTCTCACTAATGCCTTGTAAAGTTGCAGCAACACTTCCCTACCTTCATATTCTATTCATTTAGCAATAAATGCCATTTTTTTTTTGGTTTTCCTTATTACCTGCTGCACCTGCATAAAAGTTTCCTGTGATTCACTCATGGAGATACCCAGATCCCCCTGCACTGAAGCACTCTGAAGTTTTTGTCTGGATAATAAGTTGTCTTTTATTCTTCCAACCAAAATGAATAAATCCACACTTACCCATGTTAAAATCCCGTCTACCAAATTTTGGCTCATTCACCTAAACTATCCATTATAAGTTTGTGAATTCTTATTTCTTCATTGCAATATTTCCCACCTATCTTAGTGTCATCTGCAAGTTTGGCTATAGTACCTTCTATCACCGCATCCAAGTCATCAATAGAGACTTTAAATATTTGAGGCCCAATGACCAAACTCTATGGCACCCCACTAATTACATCTTGCTAACCAGAAAAAGACCCATTTATCCCCACTCTCTGCTTTCTGTTGGGTATCCAATCCCCTATCCAAGCTTATAAATTACCCCTAACCCCAACTGATCTTACCTGCATATTAACATTTGTATGGCACCTCATGAAATGTGTTCTCATGTACAAGTTCCCCATTATTCACTTTGCTTGTTACATCTTCAATGAACTCTACAATTAATCAGACCCCTCATTAAACCATGCTGACTCTGATAGATTGTATTTTAACTTTCCAAATGTCCTGTTATTACTTCCTTAATAATGTATTCTAGCAATTTCCCAATGACACGCTTATACTGTTGGGTTATGACAGGTAGCGTAAGCACTTAAGGTCATTAGCCTTGTTTCCAGTTCAGGAGAATCCAGGATTGGATCCTTTGTATATCAGCTATGGTTGTTGCAGTCTCGTCCTCTGACTTACGAAGCTCTGCGGTCAGGTCCCACAGCAGGATGTGTGCGCAAAAATCAAGGTTGACACTTCAGTGCAGTATGGAGGGAGTGCTGCACTGTTGCAGGTGCAACCTTTTGGATGAAATCTTAAATCAAAGTGCCATCTGCCTTCCCGGATGATGCCAAAGATCCGGTTTCACTATGTGAAGAGCAAGATTTTGTGCATAGTCAGAGGTGCCATCTTCCAGGGAGACATCAAGCAGGGGTCCTATCTGCCCACTTAAATCCCGTGGTACTATTCTAAAGTACAGCTGGGAAGGTCTTCCTGTGTCCTTATGACTATTTATTCTTTAACCAATAATACCCCAAACAGATTATCTCAGAATTATCTCTTTGCTGTCTGTGGGGCCTTCCTGTGTGTAAATTCACCACCACATTTAGAACGTAGAACGTAGAACAGTACAGGCCCTTCAGCCCACGATGTTGTGCCGAACTTTTACCCTAAACCTAAGGTCTATCTAACCACCACCCCTACCTTATACTATCATCCATATGCCTATCTAATAGCCGCTTAAATGCCCCTAATTTCCGGACATTATACCAATAGTCTAAACGTTGCTGCTAATTCAGGAAGGCAGTGTTGGGAAAATTCCTGATTTTGTATACCCAACTCGGGGGGGGGGGGGGGGGGAAAACCCATACAGTCTGGTTTACCCTGCCAGGGGAGTGGTGAGGGGAATTGTTTTTTTTTGAGACTCAGGCTAGCCGCATCAAGAACAATTTCAGAGACAGCCACAGGGGTGTCCAGGTGAGGAGGCTGGCTGGCTGAGGGAACCCTACACTTTCTCTAAAATACAAACAATAAAACAAAAGTAGCACCTGTCTCATGTTCTTCACTTCCCTCACACTTCCCATTTATCATCCATGCTAACCCATGTCACCTCCATCCACCTCCAGTGGCTACTCATGTCCTCCATGCCCTTCTACCCACTTCTCATGGCTCTTTATAGCCCCTTTGACCCTCAACACACTACCCATGGCACCCCATGCCTTCCATGCCCACCCATGTCCTGCACCCAGATGATATGACCCTTTATAGTTCATGTGCCAACTTAGTGCAAATTCATGCAAACCCATTATTCCACTCAACAGTTGTGGTCTTTATGCCCTCCATGCCAACTTACTCATATCCACCATGGTCACACTCTGATCCATGCTGCGTTTCAATGAAATAAAGTTCTAAATGTTCATTGATGAATTCACTATTTTACATTTAAATTTAAAAAAGCACTCACTACGTTTAATATCCTTCAACAACTTAATTCTATATGAAAACAAACATTTACACAGCAAGAATTATGAAAACAAATATTCATTGCCCTAGTTCAAGGTAATCATTAGCACTTGGAGCTGTCAATCAAACTATGAATTGACAGGTACCCCTCTGTGATATTATTGGTTGTAAAATCAGTTGTGAAGTTCCTATGATGCTAGCCCTCAGGTTTGTGTCCAGCAGACAAAGTTACATAGGATGCACCAGAACTGCAGACAGTTTTATTAACTTTAAAGGATGAGATATTTAAATTCCTCGAGATTTGACACTTCCAATGAATTTGATAGCTTGACCATTTCATGTGAGTTTATTCGCCTTTTTATGCATATTCACATCTACTTTAACAATCCCAAAGATTACTTAACCTCTCCCAGTGAGCACTTTGTTCCAAATCTCACCTGACATCTCCCAAAAATGTTCTTGTCCCTATCCAAAAAGATGCTGTGCCTTTCCAAATAATGCAGGCAGCTTTAGACCTTACCCAGAAAGTGTAAAGCCCAAGTTATGTTTTGGACATGCTGCTTCTGAAAATTGGATGCAAAGAATGGCAGCTACATTTGTTATGAACCAGACTAAACCCCCTCAAAATATATTAAAAAGATAATCTAGACCTGAACTACTACTTATTTTAAAGATAAGTGTAAAGCATTGAGTTCCAGATGCAATTCAATTGGTCAAATTACTTGACATTAAGCAAAAGACATTTTATTTTTACACTATAGTTAAAATACAAAATCAAAAGAAAAGAATTGGCTTAACTGTAACTCTATGGAAATACTTAGCAAAATAATACATATATTAAGTACTACTAATTAACTGTTCCAAAAAGTAACATCCCATAAACGCACCCTTGGAAAAGGCAAATTCAGTAAAACAGATTGTCTGACATGCAATTCTAGCAGCAGGAAGAGAACCCCAGCTTTTAGCTGTAACAGAGAGAGGAATAAGAGCTTCCACATCCAGCTTCAAGACACCAGCAACTGTAGAAAGCTAAAACTAAAAATCCTGGTTCTGTGGGAACTTGACCCCACCCATTCAGGCTGCTTCTGTTGTTCCAACTTTAAAAGAAAACCCAGTCCTCACAAACTGTTTACTCTTTTGGCTTTGAGCAGACCACTTGACACCTATGTTTCAACCTTCCTTCATTTAAACAAAAGGACTAAATATACCTCTTAAAGCTATAGTATCATCACACATTTTGATATGTACGATTCCCTTCATAAACCAAGATGTACAAAATACAACTCACTCCCATTCTCACCCTAACAAAAAATAATGAAGTCTAGGTTTGTGGGTGGAACTTCCTGAATTGGGCCTCAGATGCTGTTTTGGCTAAGCTGGACATGTTTCCATTGCTTCAAAAATTTATGCCAGAACACTTTGAATATGCTTTGATTGGCTGTAAACCATTTGGGAATCCTTGTCTTTTTCTTTTCTTTTGTATGACTTTTTCCAGGAATGACTTGAAAATTAAATGCTCTTGTCTTGTGTTATCTTATCTATGAAGTGGAACAATTTGGTCCAACATTGTTTACAGCCTCTGAAACCTTGCAATTACCTGATAGAAACCTGATAGCTCAGAAAGAGGATATTTGACCCATTATACCTGTGTTTACCAAAATACAGTATTCTAGCCTTATCCATTTTCCAGTTTTTGGTCCGTTGTGCTGTAGGTTGCAGAACTTTGAATGCATATTCCAATAGTTTTTAAATGCTTTCTATCAATCACTTTAAATCTATATCCCCTGATTATTGACAAAACATAATGTGCTCATTCCTCTCAGTTTTATCCTCAAACACTGTGTACAGCCTTATGTTTGCTACTTTCTTCATGGGTTTGATTTGAGTGGAATAAATACCAATGTGTTGAAGTCATGGTCTATATAACAACTGTCCTCGACTCTGACACCTAACTCTTGTCCCACGGCACGTATCCAGCATTTTCACATACTGTGACTGCACCAAACTGACTGGATGCTGTCGTGTGACAGAGCTCCACCAATGACTCACTTTCTTGAACGTATTTCTTGTAATGCCCCAGGCTCCCCAACACCTTGGCAACTGAGATCACCTGCTTCCCATCACCAGTATAAGAGTCCAATAGTTGCCCTGTTGAAACTTTGAATGCTTCTGTGAAAATGAGTTAAAATTCCAAGCAACCATATCTCCCCTGCCATTCGTGCCCAGGCCTTCTACTCCAAGTTATGATTTTTAAAACAAAAAAAATCAATGTATTTTTAGATCAGTGCTAGTCTTCACACTGAAGAGTGACCTTGTTTGGTTCTGATTGCAGAAAGCAAGAAGTGTGTTTTCTCAAGGTTTTTTTTGGCGCTGCCATGAACAAGGCCTCAGTGTGTCAGATTGGTTCTGGTTACTGGGAGGGAAGTGGGGAAACAGGATGTGGAGGGAGGTGGTGCTGAAAGAACAGGTCAGCTTATTGCTGTGATATCAGATTAGAGGAAGTCAGCATCTGCATTTCAGACAGCCTCGGTAGACTTGCCTTGTGGTCTCCATCGCTGAATTCTAGAATATCTGCTAATGAAGAGAGAGTTGAAACGTTTCTGGTTCCCCATTAAATTAGAGGTGGGGCTGGAGAGGCCGTGGGAAGGGGAGGAGACAGGCAGAAGGAACTGGGCTGGGGTGTCGGGTGGCGTCTGCAAACCTGGAAATAATTTGAAGTAATGAGTCATTCCTAACTCCAAACGATGAAAAAATGAATAAGAAATATTTGTCAATTCGAACAGTAGCCATTACATATGTGTCTAGTTTATTGGACACTAAATCAGCTATCTTGATGTGTTTATTACGTGGGAAATAAGGGTTAGTCCACAGCATATCACAACAATAGATAACATTCACAGTCTTTCATAGTGAAGGAATAACAAAGAGCGTAAATATTCCAAATACCACTAATAAAATGTAGAATGGACCTAGAATTTGTGTTATTTGGATGTGTTGTTATTTGGTTTTGATTTTTACTCAAGTATAATAATTTGCTTCATGGACACTGTTGAAAGGTTTTTTTACTGTTTCTTTAAATTTCTTCCCTGCATTGTATTAGCACCTAGTCCTGCCTCAGGCTCTGAACGACACATGCTTTCTCAGGACTCCCTACGGTCATCAAGCAGGCATCCATCTACCTGGACTGTGGAAGATGTAATGCGGTTTGTCAGAGAATCTGACCCTCAGGCTTTGGGTCCACATGCTGAACTTTTCAGAAAACATGTAAGTGTTAGTCTATGAGGTGACATAAAAATGAGGATACAGTCTCTCAGTGGTTATGTTACTGAACCTGTAATCCTCTCAATTTTTTCCTCCACAGATGCTTTCTGAACTGCTGAGTATTTCCAGCATTTTCTAATTTTATATTAGACTTTGTATTTTGACATTTTAGATTTTAGTATTTTGTATTTGCATTAATCTGGAGGCCAAGACGAATTGCCAAAAGACCAGAGTTCAAATGCCAACACAATCGCTAAGGATTTTAAATGCAATTAAATGCAGATTGAATAAATCTGGCTTAAAAAATACCACGATCAGCATTGGCGACCATTAAACTACTAAATTGTCATAGAAATTTATCTGGTTCACTAATGCTCCAGTTTCCTGCGACAGTCCAAAGGTGTGCAAGTTAGGTGGATTGGTGATATCCCCGTAATGTCCAGGGATGTGCAGGTTATGTGGTTTAGCCATGGTAAATGTGGGGTTACGGGGATAGTTGGATGGGATGCTCTTCATGGGTCACTACAGACTCGATGGGCCAAATGGTTTCTTTCCACACTGTAGGGATTTTATGAATCTGTGAATGCATTGTAAGAAAGGAAATACATCATCCTTACCTGGTCTGGCCTATGCGTGACTCCAGGCCCACAGCAATATGGTTGACTTCTAACTGGCCTCTGAAGTTGCCTAGCAAGCCACCCAGCTGCATTCAAAAAAGTGGTTCACCATCAGCTTCTCAAGGGCAATTAGGCTGGATAGCAAATGTTGCTCTTACCAACAGTTCACATATCCCTTGAATGAATTGTTTAAAAGATCTTTGACTTAGTGACTGTATACGTTAAACCAGGGATTATTTTTTAATCAGGCGTAAGACAAGACCTGTCAATTTAACTTGTTATTCTCCAGACATCAAATAGGTTTGAACATTTGCATGTGTTAATCTCACACTGCTGTTTAATTTTTTAACAAGGTAAGCACAGATCAGAAGATTAGAATGCTGGATCAGTTTGGCTAGAGCTATGAAATAGCCAAGGGCAGCAAATATTGGTGGGAGTTGTTTATAAGCTGTCAAACGGTATTGATGATGTACAGCATGGTATAGGTTAGGAAATTAGAGATGCATGTAACAAAGGTAAGACAGTGACCACAAGAGACTTCAAGCTGTACTGGATAAATCTAATTAGTACCTAATGCTGTGGGAGATGAATTCCTGGAATATATTGAAGATAGTTTTCTCGAACAGTGTGGTGAGGAACCAACTAGAGAATGGTTATTTTAGATCTGGTATATTGCAGTGAGAAAGGGTTAACTAATAATCATGTCATAAAGTTGCTTTTACATTAAATCTGAAAATTTTGCAATTCAATCCAAAACTTGGATTTTAAATCTAAACAGAAGAGACTATGAAGATATGAGGAACAAGGTGATGTTGGTAGATTGGGAAGCTACATTAAAAGGTCTGATAATAGGCAGGCAATGGCTAGCAATTAAATAAAAGATACATGGTTTTACCTCAAATATATACTTCATTGAGGCACTAACACCCAAATGTGATCTACTGTGGTTAATAAAAAAAAAACACTAAACGTCGAATTAGATCAAGGAGAGAAGTTTCTAAAGTCATTTAAAAAAGTAAGCACAAGGATTTACAGCTCTGAGATGCAGAGCAATCTGTATATCCACATGATGAATTGCAAAATGTTAGTATGCAGGCACAACAATTAACTAAGAAAGCTATAGACATAGCATGGCCAATCTTGTAATTTAAACATGCAGGATCAAACTAGTCTCAGACGAGACACAGTATCAGAATAAGGGGTAGGTGATTTAGCACTGAGATAGTTTCTTCACTTATAAGGTTGTAAATCTTCGGAACTCTCTGCCCCAGAAGGCTGCTGGCTCAGTCATTATGTTCAAGACTGAGATCAATAGATTTCTAGATGCTAAAGACATCAAGAGATATGGGAATACTATGAGAAAATGGTGTTGACCATATCCATATGAATAAAAAAGCAGGCTCTAGGACTCAAATGGCCTACTCCTGCTCTGGTTTCCTATGTTCATTTGCTAATTGGCTTGACTGACATTTAGTGAGGTAGCAATGACATTTTAAAGTGAAATGGTGGTGTCATTTATAGGATGCACTGCACTATGAACGAATAGTGTCAAACGTGCTGTTACTGGCTAGTCGTGTTTGGTAGAAGTTGATCTGATTTAATAGAATGTCATATTTATTCTGCTGTTACACCTAGATTGAAGTGAGAAATTAGCACTTTGTAGTGGATTCCTTTAAATGGTTAAACCATAAGAACTTGACAGGTTCCTGTACTTGCTCTGGTCGGCACTGTGTGTGTGTTTATGCATGTGTATGTATGTAGGATGTAAACCAGCCTTAGGCTTTCCTGTTGAGCACACCATTACAGATGTTCCAATGAACTGGACTGTAGGTAAGTGGTAGCAATAGTGTACAATAAGCAATAATGCCAGCTTTGCTTTAAGACTAGGCCAACACAAAGTGATTCCATTGCGAGGCTACTATCTTGATTCTCTTTCGAGAAGACTGTGTTGGAGTACAGTGCTAGTAGATTTACACTCAACGTTATTAGGAACCTGGTAGGGCACTGAAAATATTCAAAGAGCCCAGGGACGAGAAAAAATTGCAAATGTTGGAAATCTGAATAAAACCCACATTTATTCAACTCAAGAAATGAAATGACATGTTTGTTTTGGGTTCCGCATCCATCACAGAAACTCACTCTCCGTTAAATTTCAAACCTACCTTATGCTCCTAAACATCTGTTTTCGCCTCAGCAGTTTTTTTTTTACATTTGGTAAAAGTAAGCTACCTTTTCATGATTTGACGTGCTTCTCTTCCACTCCGTGTTTATTTTCAGGAGATTGATGGCAATGCTTTGATCTTGCTGAAGAGCGACATGATAATGAAGTACATGGGACTGAAGCTGGGCCCTGCCCTGAAGCTCTGCTACCACATTGATAAGCTGAAACAGAGCAAATACTAAACCAAGATGTAAACTGGAGCAGGACGAACAGATGTCAAGTCATTGTTTTCTTTTGCTTTTATTTTCTTTCTGTGAAAGTGCACCAGCACTCCGAAACACTTCTCCTTACTACAGTTGTTCAGTAATCTTCTGATATGTATGATGAAGAGGAGCTGGAAGTAATTTGATGCCTTGCAGCAATACCACACACAAGGGCTGGTTTGTAGGTGATCTCATTTATTGTTCTCATCTCCGCACAAACATATCCAACACATGTCAGCCGTGCATGCATTTTGATTTCTTTCACACCCAGGATCTGAGTGAAAATGTCTAAGATATGATCTGTGCAGTCCTTTTTGCCTGCCCCTGTTGTCCTTGTTGTTGACTCAGTTATCTGGAGGTAGCATTTGAGTAAGTGGGTGTGTAGCATTATTGTACAAATGTCAGATTGAGTGAAGAAATTACCTTAATGTAACATGTACAGTACAAGCATAATCTAATTTTAGTTTTAAGGTGAATGAAATTGGCTTTATGAAGTTATATTGAAATGTGTACATAAGTATATAATTCTTCCCTGCTACTGAAAGGTTAATGTTTACTTAACAGATGTGATGGAACTCTATATATGATAAAGTCGGAAGCTTGCAGAAAGCATTATCTATGGCACTCTGATATATGTTGTGCATATAGGACATGATGTGTAGATGTAGGATTTTATTTTGTTGAACTGAAGGACTTGTTTTGGGTTGAATCCTGGACAGTTATGAACGTGCTTGAGCAAAGAGCTTCACTACACTTGCATCTGTATACAGTGATGGGCTTGGACTGAAACTGATGTATATAGGGTTTTTTTTGTGTTTTTTTTTTTAAATTGTATAATCCTCAGTAACATTCAATGGAACAGGTCAGTGAGCCAGTCAGGCTGAGCTTAAACATTGACAGGCAATAGGGAACTCAAAACTGAACCAGGAATAAAAAACAATTATCACAGGCAAGTATATATTCAAATGTGGATTTAACAAACAAGTGCACACAAAGGATTGTGTTTAAGCAGGAACTGCACACCAGGATATAGATTCAGTTGGTCAGTTTATACTGGTGAATGTAGATTATCAGGTATATATTGGAACAGGGTGTAATTAGTCAAGTTATATATTGGACACTGGTGTCAAACAAGTGGCCATTCTATAGCACAAAGTGTGATAACAGTTGGTGATGAGTTGATTTAGTGTTTGTAAGTGTGTTATATTTCAGCAAAGCATAAGCCAGGTGCCCATTACAGACCCACCTGATTTTTGTTCCATTGCAGCCAATACAAGCGGGCACTGTACATAACTGGCAGCTGATTTGTTACAGCCCATTTTACATCCACATCTGAAGCTGAAAGCTGTGCCCATACAATTCTACAGCAATTCACAAGTTTCCTTTCTCGCTGCCAGAGTTTTTGAATGGCCATGTTATTAAAAAAAAAGATCCTAGCATTTAAAAATAAAACCTGGCAATAAAGTCCTTCAGCCTCTGAACAGTGATGCAACTTGTGCTTGCTGTACAGACTATTTAGTTATAAACGATCACATTTCAGGAGATGTGGGAGTAATTCTAGGGAGGGGGAAAAAATCAACAAATAGCATTAATCAGAAAGTCATACAGAAAGCACTTTACATTCATTCAGTGGGCACGGGTAAGGCACAGAAGATTTTAAAACAATGCAACGTTTTTAACTGATCAAAGAATTCAATCAATAAATTTTCCAAACATAAAACTGGATTAGTTTGTTCGTGATGTGGAGCTTGGATGCTGCTCAAAATTGGTTTGGAGATGCACCTCTGCCTCTTCCTTAAAGCCTGAGACTTTGAAAGCAACAAACCTCCCACCACAGGATTATATCGGTTATCAGACGCAAAACAGACCATTTAGGACCAACCTGTCCTTGCCAGTGTTTACGCACCACTCAAGTTTATTTCCTTTCATCCTTCTTCTTCTAAATCCATAATCATAATGACCTAGTCCCTTCTCAATCTCATGTTGCCTAGCTTCCCCTTAAATTCTCTTGGCTTCAACCACTTCCTAGGAGTCCATATCCACATCTATTGTTTGTGCCACCTTCGGCGAAAATAACAATGGGAAGGAGAAACATGGTTAGGGCAAGACTGCAATTTTACTGCCAAGCAGGCAGAGAGTTAAAGTTGGTCTTTGCCGGTCAGACTTGTGTTGCAATGTTGATGCAGCACTTGACAATATGAAGGGAATGTTTTTATATTGGACACAAGTTGACATGACATTTCACGGCTTCTCATCGGAGACAATTAGATACCAGTTCTGTAATGTAGTGCTTTGCTAATTTTTTTTTTTACATATTGCCAGTAAGAAGGAAGGGGATGTGTTTGAGTTGCTCGTAGTTTACGTGGAACACATAACACACAACGTTGAGTCCAGTTACTCCATTCTTGCACTAATGCTCCATTCAAGCCTCCTCCAGTCTCTGCTCATCTATCAGCATATGCTTCTATTCCCTTCTCCCACATATGCCTCTCTAGTCTCTCCTTAAATGCATCAGTTGCCTGTTTGAATGCTTGGTGGTGATTATTTTATAAATAAAGTTTATGTTTGTGTAGTTATTGAGTATTCAGTGAAGTGCAATGCATTATCAATTATCCTACAATGCTATCATACAATAGGTCAGATTTTTTGCTTATTTACAGCAAGGGATGTTAGCATTAGCTGTTAAAAACATTTTCCCATTTTAACTTCACTGTTTTCTGGTTTGGATTGAACAATTCCGACGGAAGATTAAAATTCTGGATGGGTGGAGACTGCGGCACTCTGTCCATGCCCTCTCTCCTCCCTTTAATTCCCTCTGTCCCACACAGCCGATTTAACTGCCTGGATTCAGGCAACTGGAAGGTGAGGGTCTAGTTCAACTTGAAACATTTCGATGGCTCTTTCTTCATTTCCAATTTAGCAAATTTATCTCAAAATCACAGGCTGTCAAATGTGGCAGCAAAAAATTCCATTAAACACCAGTTTAACCTCAACTAGAGCATTGTGTCCAATCTGGGAACCGTATTTTAGCAAGATTGTGGAGGTGGTAGGGTACAAAAAAGATCATGAGAATAAATCTAGGCCTGAGGGGCAACAGTTGCATGGATAGATCACAGAAGCTTAGGTGAAGAGAAGTTTGTTAGAGGTTTTCAACATCATGAGGGGACTGGCAGAGTGGATGGGACGAAACAGTACCCTTTGATGGAAGGTCATGAACCAGAGGACACTGATTCAAAAGGAATGGCAAAAAAACCAAAGGCACGATGATGTAAAACAGTTTTACGTGCTGAGTTGTTAGAAAACTGAATATAGTCCCTGATAACATTGTGGGGACAGATTCAATCATGTCTTTCAAAAGGGAATTCAATAATTATCTGAAGAGAAAGAATTTGCAGGGGCATGAGGAAAAGGTTGGTGAGTGGAACAAAGTTAGTTGCTTTTGGAGAGAAATGGCATGGATGTATCATTCTGAATGGCCTCTTTTGGTGCTGCAGTAATTCTGAGAAGATGAGCGTGAGGTTATAGAATGGTCAGAAAATGTGAATGCGCTACATTTTTATGAAGATTCCCTGTGGGTCAGGAGAAGCCGGAGTGTTTCACTGGATGTTCCAAGTTACCCTGGGGTTATTTAAATACTCATCCTTCCCTCTCTCACCAATGGCAGCTTTTTAATCTCCCTATTTTCACCAACAAATCCACACAGTCCTTGCTCCCAGTTCTTGCCCCAGGTTCAGTTTTCTACCCTGGTTGTTAGCTCCAGCCATTCCTGCCAGCTTTGAGCAGCAAAACAGTGCAGAATTTGTAAAAGTAGATGATATTTATTTTGTTTCAAAAGAATAATTCATTGAGATTGGATGGGAATAGGTTTCCTGTTGTCAGCACAATGTAGTTGTGGCATTACTGACTAGGTCTAGTAAGTCATTGAGATTCCTACTTGAACACACAGTTCTAACTTGTTTCCATGTCACTTGAGCAAAGCAGAAAAGCCTGCCAAACTCTCAATGAGACATCGTTAAGTGGTACAATATATTTTTATTTTTCTGTGGTTATAATTCACCACAAGTGGCTTACACTCGAGCATTATCAGTGAGTGATAACGATAGGGGTGATTTTCTGAGTTTCTGAATCGCTCAGCTTAGTCTCATTAAATGCCGTTCTTATGTATCTACTTATGTAACCGGCATCTGGATTCTCCAGTACATGTGGGATCTGTAATACTGGACACGAGTAGCACTGATGGTGGGGGCTAATGTCCAAAATACTGTATCTGCTGTGAATTATTAACACTCACTGTAGTGAACAAGCAACAAGTCAATCCAAGGTCAACAATTATATAATCAACATGTCGCTTGTAATCATCTGTATTACGAACACAAGCCAACAGATGTATGCATTCATTGAGTTGGCTGCCAAAGATTTAATTGCCATATATACATTTATATGAGGTGCTGTATATTTTCATTTTGGACTATTATTTCTTAAAACCTAATGGGAAAGTCTTGAGGGAACATTTTATATATTAAATGTCTCCATAGTGCCTATGAATATACTATAAATATTCATTTTTAAAATTTAAATTTCTATTCCCAACAGGGATTTGCCTTTATTTGGTCACCTGCAGCTTTTAGAAATGAATTCTTAGCAAGTGGGCAACACTGCATTTATTGCCCATCCTTGACTGAACTCAGAAGGTACTGGCAGCTCAGTGATATACAGTAACTGACAAGCAGCTCCTTAGCCCTGGAGAAGTTTATTAATGTAAAGAGGGAAATGCCCACAGAACACCCTGGGAGACCATTTGCAGCCATCTGTAAATATTGTTTAAAAAAAAAATCCAAGACTTCTCCACCCCTTCAATCATCACTGAATTCTGACTCTGTGTCATGTGCAAAAGTAAATCCATTTTGAATCCACCTTTACAAATCACTTCTGTGAATTTCCTCCGAGCTTCTCTCAATGCCTTGCTGGTGAAAATTCTGGTGGGGGTAGGCGTATTTGGCGTTTTTGTTAGAGTTTACAGTGACTGATTACAAACACCACACCCCTCAAAAAAGAGTCTCACTTCTTGAATAAATGTTCTAGATTACATAGATATTAATTGAATGCACACTGGATATTGAGAGAATGATCAGAACTTTTTTTTAATATTAAGGTGCATTTTAACTTTTGCTGATAGTGTATGTATGTGAGAAATAATAGATGGCCCACCCACACACCTTGTCCAATTATTTAAATCAGTGGGAAAGATGTTTAACAGGAGGCCAGTCCAATATTACCTCATTTCCACTATTAGTTAAAGTTAAAATTATCCCTGTGGTGTGTATATGGGATTAGCAATATTTCATAACTCTACTTATATTTGGTTTAATTGCTGCATATAGTTTCTTTAAGTCCATAGATATACCAACACCAATGCCAATGGTGCACATTTGATACTTTGTATGTTTGTATTGAGGTATATTTTACTAGTTGCAACAATTCTTTGCCTGTAGTATATCAGATAATCCAAGTATTTCTCAGAGAACTGATAAGATGCAAGACTACAGAACTTAATAAACCAATATCCTTGTCTGTGTTTCTCCCGGTCATTTACAGTCTGGACTAAATGAGGGGTGAGTCTTTGTGTTATCTTGTGATATAATTGTCCTTATCTTCTTTTATAAACTATCTTGTGATATATATATGTACATTTACCCTGTGAAGTGTATAGTACCCTGTGAAATATGCCTGTAATGTATAATGTGTGTATTGCTTGATGTGTACATTAACCTGTGATGTGTACATTAACCTGTGATGTGTACATTGTTTTGTGACATATCTACATATCACCCTGTGATGTGTACATAATTCTGTGATATATGTACTCATTATTGTGTCACACATCTCAATCCATCCAATTTTGTTTCCCTTTTGATTTCTTTTTTCTCTTTATGTATTTTTCCGTCTCCACCCCAACAATTTATGGTATTACACTTTCTTTATGAGTAATTTATTGTTATTCCAGACATTTGCTAAGAGCAATCAGTTTAATCTGCCATTGCACTAAAGGAGCAAAAAAATGGAGAATATCTGGCAGACATTACAGTGCTGCTTTCCTAACGGAAGGTTCAAGTGCCCCATGAACCAAGCACAAGGATCTAAAGTGTTACCTGTGAACACTTTGAGACACACGCAGCTCTTTGTCCAATTTGCTGACTTCATTTTGAGATATTTCCAATTTTTCTTGCAATCTCTCACTAGTCATCTCCAATTGTACATTAATAAACAGGCCATTATTTTGTACTATAACAGTACAAGATAAACTATACGCATAGTGCACATGTCAAAATGGACATTGGTTACTTTGACTCCGTAATATTAGTCTTCAGGTCACTCCAGAATGTGCAAATGTATGCTCACATTATCCTTACACATATAGGCATATAGATACACACACATCTGCATGCACACATATACACACATGCACAAGTATACATCTGTGTATACACGTACATACAAAGCCAGTCAAATACTTATTCCATTTATTCTATTTTAGGGCCATTTCTTCCAAGCATCAGCTGCCATTGCATTTCTACAGTTGAAATGCATGATGCCATCCGACACTGAAATGTTAACAGTTGTGATGTAGTTTCTACGACTTTATTGATTAATACTCACCAGCTGGTAACAGAGAAATTCGTCATTCAATACTTATGATGTTGAGGCACTCTATT